ACTCTAGCATTGTARTTACAACAAGGCATAGTGGAGGGTCTTATTTAAATCGGGTGGAGCTACTAAATGGCTGTTTAAGTGTTGCGCAAAGTAATCTGTTTATCCCTTCTACTCTTGGTGGTCCATGCTTCACTGGTCAAGGGTTGGACAATGAGCAACTAGCCCGTAATTTAGATGGCAACTGATGTCTACATAAAAAAAGTTAATGGTTCACCCTGTGCAAAGCAACCGATTCAGCTGTTTAAAGGAGCAGATGACAAGCATGCAGAGTATTTAAAAACAAGACGCCCTAAGCTGATTACATTTCTCAAAGGGAGCAAGGAAAAGAAGCAAGCACTTCAAGAACCAACTTTATTCCAATACTTTGAGGAAATACTTTGAGGGATGTGAGAAAGAGGCATCAGGTTCCAAACGTTCCAGATCACTATGTATTTATGCTGTAGCTGTGCCATCAGCCTGTCTACATCCAAAATGCAAAACTCCAGCAGACAAAAAATGTTTGAATTGGTACCCAGATGGCCCAGAACTGTCATACTTTCCTGTTCCAGTGGCTGATCCACAACGCCCCTGGGGAGCATCTTAGCATATTAGCGCCTGAGACGGCTGCATGATTCTTAGCTCCGTGTATTTTTCATTTTATATCGTTATTTTACGTTCTTTCGAACTCTTTTCTCGACTTAGTAACTCTATTAGATCGTATTTATGTTTTTTTCAAGTTAATCTGCCAGTAATCACTTGAGTGCATCGCCAAGGTCTGAAGCGGTTCGAGGAGAAATCAAATAAATATCGAAGATCTTGCTCTTTTCTTTTGATGGGGGATTTCAACTTTCATGTTGATGACTCTTCTAATTCCTCTGCAATTAAATTTCTGAATTTATTAGAGCTTTTTAATTTGACTCAACATGTTAAAGAGCCAACATATCAGGGCAAACATACGCTTGACCTTGTAATTACAAGGACTGGAGAAGATGTTATTTGTAATATTTCCGTTTCTGATCCTTCAATTTCTTTTCACTCGGCTGTTTTCGGTCATCTCAAAATCAAAAAACCTCCTTTCCAAAAAATTGTGACAAAAAGCCGTAACATGAAGGCAATAAATTCTGATGCTATTATTCATGACATCTCAAATTCTTCTCTGGTCATATCTCCTAATGATGATCTACATAGCTTACTTAACAAGTATGATTCTACACTCACTTCTGTCCTAAATTCTCATGCTCCATCTAAAAACCGTATAGTTTCTCTGCGTCCTCACAATCCCTGGTATACATCAGAAATAAGGACTGAAAAAGCTAAGCGTAGGAAACTTGAGAAAAGATGGCGTCGCTCTCACTTGACTGTTGATAGAGAATTATATGTTGAACAATGTAATATTGTCAAAAATCTTTTAAAATCTTCTAAAAATGGCTACTACTCAAAGATTATCCAGGAGCATCAGTCAAACCAAAAAACTCTTTTTTCTACTTTTGAAAAAATGACACACAAAAAGAGTGCGAAACATTTTCCATCTGCTGTTTCGCCAAACCATCTTGCAAATAGTTTTGCTGATTTCTTTGTTGACAAGATTATTAATATACAAAATAATCTTGGGGATATCCATTATACTCTGCCTAGTGAATGTGTCATTCTAAATGATTATCTCACATCTTTTTCTGAAATTCATCTTGAGGATCTCTCTAAACATATTTTTCCTTTGGTGTCAAAATCTTGCGAGCTTGATCCTGTTCCTGGCAAATTTCTAAAATTGGTTGCAAACCATTTGTCTCCTGTCATTTCTAAGATTGTCAATCTTTCTTTAGTGAAAGCGTCAATGCCTTCAATGCTAAAACTTTCTGTGATTAAGCCCCTCCTTAAAAAGCCGAATTTAACAACTGAAGAATTTTCTAGTTTTCGACCAATCTCTAATTTAAATTTCTTGTCAAAGACTATTGAAAAAGTGGTTGCGCAACAGCTGATTCAACATCTTGAGAAAAATAACCTTCATGTGCCATTGCAATCTGCATATAAGAAAAACCACAGCGTGGAAACTGCCCTTCTAAAAGTGCACAATGATATCTTGCTTGAAATTGATAAGAACAAATCAGTTTTTCTTGTCCTTCTTGACCTCTCTGCTGCTTTTGACACTGTTGACCATGATATTCTTTTAAATCGGCTATATACATCTTTTGGAGTTCGAGACTTAGCTCTTGAGTGGTTCAAATCCTATCTTAGTAATAGGCAATTTTATGTCAGTGTCCCGGAAGGCAAATCTTCTTCTCGGCCTTTTGATTGTGGTGTTCCTCAGGGATCAATTCTAGGACCAATCTTATTTTCATTATATGTTTCACCCATAGCAGATATAATTCATCAGCATGAGCTGGGCTATCATCTGTATGCAGATGATACACAATTATATATTTCTTTCTCTACAACATCTTTATGTGAAATGACAGCAGCAAAATCCAAGGTTGAGGCCTGTGTCAAAGATATTGATTTATGGATGATTAAAAACAAGCTTAAACTTAACGGTGATAAAACTGAACTAGTGGTACTTTCAGCTGCACATCGCCCTTTCTCATCAGAAGTGTCACTTAATATTCTTGGCTTTGACATTTTATCATCTTCTTCTGCACGAAATATTGGGGTAATTTTTGACAAAAAACTTTCGTTAGAATGCCATATAACAGCAGTATGTAAATCATGCTTTTTCCACATTCACAATATTTGGAAAATACGCAAATGGCTCAGTGTCAGTGCGTGTGAAACACTTGTGCATGCTTTTATCTCCTCTAAATTAGATTTCTGTAATTCTTTGCTCTATGGTCTTCCAAAGTCCTCTATAAGCAAGCTACAACGCGTGCAGAATGCGGCAGCAAGATTAATTTCTTTTACCCGCAAATGCGACCACATCTCGCCTATTCTTTACAACTTACATTGGTTGCCTGTAGAGCAACGCATTGATTATAAAATTCTTTTAATTACCTTTAAGATTCTTAATGGAACTTCTCCTTCTTATCTTTCTAATCTTATCGAGCCTTATAAACCCTCACGTTTTTTAAGATCTTCATCGGCCAACTTGCTGTTTAAACCATCTTTTAACCTTAAATTTTATGGCAGAAGATCTTTTTCTTTTGCAGCTCCTGAGCTATGGAACTCTATCCCCGAGAACGTCCGTGGAGCCAAATCAATTTGTATTTTTAAAAAGGAAATTAAAACTTGGCTTTTTAAGAAAGCCTTTTCACTTAAATAGTTCTGTATTTTTAATGTTAAATAATTATTATTGTATTAGTGTTTTATGCAAAATATAAAAAAA